TTTTAAAATCATCTTAAGTAACGTCTTAAAATGCTAATACGGCTCTCTGATTGATTCAATAAACATCTTAAAACATTTTAAGACTAGACGATTCTAAATATAAGAATCGATTATGAATACCGCTCTTAATACTTAAATATTTTGAAGTGAATTTATAATACATATTCCAACTCTACAAACCGCACACTAAAATCTTTTTCGATCTTAAAATGCAATTATGAACGGAACTAGAGTAGTAATATCACGTATTAAATTGACAAGCAATTTAATAATATTGATGTTAATAAGTAAAAAAAATATGTTTAATAAAAAATTCTGTTATAATCGTTAAAATTAATGAGACAAAGATGTTGTGTACATTTATGAAACGTACACAAAAATTATGATATAAGAAAACAGAAACGTATTCAACAACGTATACGTCGTCATACCTCGTTTCGTAGATGTGGCAGTCGGCATCGATGTGAGCTGCGATGGGATGCCGGCCCTATCAGTGGCAGTGATAGCCCACAGCCGAGTCTCGTGCCCTTTCGCGGACCTCGTCGTCGTCGTCGTCGTCTTCAGGACGAGCCACTAACCTGGTAGTCATCTCCACCACGACGACGGCCAGTCGGTCATCGTCTATCGATCAAGACACGTACACTCTAAAAGCATAATAGAATTTTTCCTCAAAATATAAATACAATAACAATGATTAAAAAATATGGTAATACTCCAAATTAGGGGACCTCCCCCCCCCCTCCCCCAATGATCTTCACCTTGAAATATGTTGTCAAGGTCGTGACACCAAGTGACCTCCAACAAGTTTTAGCCGTTGCTTGTTAAAAAGGTATAAACGAAAGGAGTGTGAAAAATGATGTATCTTTTCTACTAAATATATAAAACAGAAATTTTCTGCTTTAAAGTATATTTTACAAACACGCGAAGCGACTCCCACCCCCCCTGTTTCGAAGCACATGACTTTCCAAAGAAATATAGTCAATCTCGAAAAGTCATGCGCCCCTTGGTAGGGGGAGGGGGAGGGAAGGTGAGACTGTGGGAGTCGTTTCGTGTGAAAGTATTAAAATGAGATATTATTTTTTTAAACTTTTTTCATTAATAACTTTTTAACGAATAACGAGCGACGGCTAAAACTTGTTGGAGGTTACTCAGAATCATGACCTTGACAATATATGTCAAGGTCAAGGTCATTGGAGGAGACCCCATAATCTGGAATATAAACAAAAATATATAAGATTATTTAGTATAAACATGAGAATTATTGTATAATTGTTTGTAAAATTGACAACTCTTTTCAAAAATTGTACGAAAACTAATATAAATAAGCGTAGTTGTTACTGCAATATTGATATAAAAATGCAGTTGTTGGTCTGTTTTTTTTGTTCCTACACTAGAATTTTCTTTCGACAAGTATCAAACATATACCTATCTTATTTTAAGTTCCAAAAGTGTACACTGATTCAGCCACAGAAAATAGACCTTATGATTGATAATCCATAGCTATAACTTTCTTTTTATATGCCAATATGATTGAGCTATTGCTTATCTACAATAGAGAATTGGTAGACTGCGGCTGATGTGAAAACTCACAGATATTACATTGTTTTCTAAACATTAGAATGAAAAAACAAAGAACAGTTTCGTATATTTAAAAGTTTATTCGAGCTTAAATGCACTTTCTATAATAAAAAATATTACTTTTATAAGACTGTTCTTAACATCAGTTATATTTGAAAAACTTGTTTTATCACTGTAAATTTAATTATAAGTTCCTGTGATAAATAAAAAGCACATTGCATTAAAGATGGATTACGCAAGATTAACCTATTTAGTATATATAAAATAAGTTATAATTTATTTTATTGTGTCAAACTTTAAATTCAACGCCTACAGCGAAAATTATCGACGAACGTGAAAAGGTTTTTACCGCGACGGGAACAAAAGTTTGTTTTACTAGTGCTTGAAGCGTTAAACCTTAATGACAATTTCTTGTTCACTTATGAAGTTAGAATCAACTTTTTACTATCCGTAAAGTTAAAATAGCCGTTCACAAGATGCTCGGTTCGTATCTTCTTAGCAGAATATTTTAATTAATAAAATCTTTTATTATAATATTATATTCCTTTAATGATTCTGATATTGTAAATCGTGTTTATGTTTTTTATGATCGTTCAAATAGTAAATAAGATAGTTTTAATTTTAAAGACTTAAAAATACATAAAAATGTTCTCTATAATATTTTACTTTAAATAATATATTCTAAATTAATTTCAAAATTAATATTATTTTTGTAACAATTTTCTAATATAATTATAAAATTAAACAATCTAAAATAAACTACTTTCTTTTTAAATGGATATGTGATTATATGTGTCAACGACGTCAACGTGATTGTCGTTATCTCTTTTTTTTCTAATTCAAAACATTAACGTGGAATATATATCTAAATATTTAATCCTATGAAATAGGTACGATAGCTCAGTAACCTCGAATAGTGGCACGGCAGAAATGGCATCGAAAATTTTCGTATCGCGGCAGAAATTGCATTCCTCCCTCCTCCCATCTGTGATCTTGCACGGCCATTTCAATTTCGCGGGTATTCCCCGTTCCGGGAGATACGATCGATTGACGCGTCATAGAAAAATAGCAGCATGCGATTTACAAATTTTTCATTTGTGCCTATGCATGTTTGACATTTTATGATTGTGCTATTTAATTGACATATTACGCCTTTTGAGACATATCTACGTTAAAGGTATATCTACTAAAAATTCATAATTTTTTGTTCTTGCGTACGTACAAAAAGGATTTAAATAATATTTGATCTCTTTCTGTTATCCACGTTGCAGAAAAACTAATCCTTAATTACACATAGACAATTACATGTAATTATTTATAATAAAGATTAGCTTATAAATAATTATTTTTATATTTCTGACGTGTTACAGCATTGAATCATAAATAATTATTATTTGTTATTTCTTTCGTGCATGGTCCTTTCTTGAGAGATTTTTTATTCTCTGTGATAGCGTTATAACGATCGCTCTACTGCAAAACGTGCAACTATGTGCCACGAATTTGCATATACTAACGGAGTTCCGTAGAACTAGTGCATAGATCCACAGATATTACAAATTGATATGCTTGATAGCTGTATATCTATGTTCACAGTGACAAGATGAGGCGTAATAATGATAATGAATGGATAATGCGCACAAATATTAAAACTTGTCTAGCTTCATAAACCGATTGAAATCGTGTGTGAAGCCTCAATTCCATTATATGAATCGAAAAACTCTCCAGGTAGAGATTGATATTCAATTATGTATCAACGTAGTTTTAGAAAGCATTTTATCCGTCAAATAATTTTTTCAAAGTTATTTCGACGAGAAGCGCGAGATTAAAAAGGAGAAAAAAAAGGAAAAAAACATAAATTATTCGATTAATTTAAGAAAACTAAAAAGAAACAAATTTTTCTTCAATACAGAAAGTTTGTAATCATTTATGATTTATTTTGTTTTTATTCGTAATATAATATTCAATATATTAATTATTTTGAGTAATAGTAAAGTATCAGATATAAAATTTCTGTCATGTTCAATTAAATTTAGTTAAAAAATTATATTTGGCTGTCCATGGTTGATTATCTAATATCTTTTAATTTTAGATATTCTGTAAATGTGATGTTTTCTAATTTATTTTCTAGTATCCATCATAATTGAATGAATACTTTTCTGATAAAGCGCGCGCGCCTATGTATATTTGCGCGTGTGATTTTTGTTTTTATGTTTATTTAATCATTTTTTCAGTTTATTTAATTATTGTTATTTAATCATGTTTATTTAATCATTTTTCAGTTTGTTATTCCGTGAATTCGTTGAAATTTGTATGTATGTACATACAAATTTCACGTAAGTTTCACATCGATCTTCTCGCCAATTACTCAATTACTAATAAGCCATATGTCACTACATCAGATATATCTCACGCATGTCATTAGTAAGATCTGTAGAGGGAAATGTAGATGTGCGGAGTAGTGTGGAAATTATCGAGTGGATGGTCCCATCAAATCACTATCGTCGATCTTGCCTTGAGAGAGAAGTTACCACATTACTTTATCGTTTCCTCTGATACGGTAAAGTGATTAATGCCATTATATTGAACACAAACGAGTGAAGAGATTCGATCGAAGCGAGAAAAATTCACATAAAAATATTGGGAAGTGCCTTCCATTTAGTTACACAAGTTAACACAAAATGTCGTTTTATCTTTTTTTGAATTTTTCATGAATAACAAAGACAGAATGATACTTGTGTCGACTTGTGTCACTAAATGAAAAGCACTCATTATTAGGTACCAAGACTTGACCGAATTTGACTTGACCGAATATGATTCTCTTCATACATTTATTTTGAATATTTCTCGGTTCATTTTTATTTAACGTTGTTCATTATATTATATCATCTATTGTATAAAAAGTTATGTATCTACAAAGAATCTAATTAAAAATTTAAAAATTAGTTATTGGGACATTGAAAAATCATTAAAGTAATCAAATATTTATATTGCATTTAAAAAAGTTCTATTTTTCGATGTAACAGAATCGGAATTAATTAATGAGACGAATATGACGAGACGTTAATTATCTTGATATTACGAAACTAAAAATACATAAATTATAATATTTTGTGCAGATAGATTTATTAAATCTTTCTAACTAATAAATTCTTGCGATCCCACAATAAATTCCAATAATCTGTTTCTAATAAGTATGAAAGTAGACCATTATCGACGTATTTTTAATAGGCGTAAAAGAAATTTATTTAGCAAAAAATGCATATATAGTTTCATCGGAATAAATAATGTTTCTTACAAGATATACATATATTAGTTCCACGAACTTCCTCTTAAAAGCAAATGAAGGAAATATTGCCAATAATACGTTAAGGAAGAACTATTGTTGTCTTTTCAGCTATTTCTAGTGAGAGATAAAAACATTTATTTTAAGATATCTCGAGACGACTAAATACTAGACTGCTAGGAATATGAGCTTATTGCACGGTTATTGGATAAAAATGAGTAGAAGCTCGATCGAAAGAAAAATCTTAGGAACTGCTGTAAGATAGAACTGCGCAGCGTATCGTAATATTTGTTGTGAAAGAGGCTTTT